TGGAAGGCTGAGTCAACCTTGAGCCGGCTACCTGGGATTTGAACCCCAGGTCTTGAGCACAGTTTTAGCTGCAGAACAGCGTTAATTACTACACAGACACAGACTTACTACACCAGTAAGAACTGGGTTGTCATATCCTCTGTAGAGCCCACCTTCAAAGGAAATTTATAACATACCATAAGTGGCTCATGATTTGGTTGGGATGGCACTTTGAGGATGAATTTCCTTCCAGTTTGGTCCATGATTTTATTATTTATTTATTTGATTTATACCCTGCCTATCTGGACTATAGCTCTCCTTCACAATTCATTATATCATTGGTGCTTTTGGATATATATAGATACAGTATATAGCTTTATATATAATGAACACATAGAAGGTAGAGCCTAAGTAAAATGAATTGGGGGGAAGAGGGTGATAATAATGTTGGCACTGTGCTTTCAAAATGGTCATGGCATTGTTTACACCAGCAACTAGCACAGCTGGTCATTTGAAAAACAACTCATATAATGAAGGGAGTTGGATAACTTGTTATCATTTTTTGTCTGATCTGAAATGAAAATATTAATGTTATCAAAGCACAAAGGACAGAAATGGTGGTTTATCAGGGGAGAAGGAGGTTTATGTGCATGTGTGTGTGTGCACACGCACACACACACACATGCACAGAGGATAATGAATACATGTTTGCGATTGCCTAAGGGAAAAATCTAAACTAGAAGTCTGGAAATTTATTTCTGTGTTAATGAAATGTATTAGCATTAATTGAGTCTTTCAGTAATTGAAATGATGATGATATAGTTGTTGCAGAAGTGTGAAATCAATTTATTCTACGTTCAAGCAGTAGAAGTCTTGGAAGTTCAGTGAGACTGCATCACTAATACCAAAATGATAACCAGCCGATGAAAATTTGCACAGCTTCACTAAAATCATTGGTTCTTTATCCACAGGGGAACCTGGTGCTATCTCTTCAGGATAATTTCCCAAATTATAGCCTTCCAACTTCCGCTGAACTAGAAAATAGCAGAACTGACAGGATCACACCACATTGATGTGCTCCAATGCTCTGGACCAAAGCAAGTTTTTCCCCTCTCAAAAATGTCTAATATGCTCAGCTGCCTCTTTTTTAAAAGCACTTGTAATCAAACACTATTCTGTGAGCAGGAAAGAAATAAACTTGTAATGGAGCAGTGTTAGAATACAATGGTAGCAAAGAATG